GTCAACACAATGGTCTTTTTAATGTTTGCAGTATTTAGATTAAAATGTGGTGTCTGTTTTGCTGCTGGTTTTAAGGATTTGATTTCATTAGTATGCAAAATTGCATAATTTCTCAACCACTGATTGATTGATTGTTGATTGATTGGTTGGTTGATTGATTGATTAATTGGTTGGTTGTTTGATTGGTGATTGATTGATTGATTGATTGATTGATTGATTGATTGATTGGTGGTTGGTTCATTGATTGATTGGTTGATTAATTGGTTGGTTGGTTGGTGATTGATTGATTGATTGGTTTTTGGTTGGTTTCTGGTTGTTTAGCTGTTTGGTTGGTGATTGATTGATTGGTTGGTTGGTTGTTGGTGATTGATTGATTGATTAATTGTTTGGTTGGTGGTTGATTGATTGGTTGGTGATTGATTGATTGATTGATTGGTTGGTTGATTGATTGATTGGTTGATTAATTGGTTTATTAATTGGTTGATTAATTGTTTGGGTGGTTGTTTGGTTGGTGATTGATTGATTGATTGATTGATTTGTTTTTGGTTGTTTTTTGGTTGTTTAGCTGTTTGGTTGGTGATTTACTTTAATGACCACACAGCCAGGCTGGTGGAATTTGTTTTCAGTACAGCTCATTTCTTGGGTGCAGGTTCCAGAAAATACATTAACAATGAACATTAAACATATATGATACAATACCATACATATACATACAGACAAAACACAAAACATACACAGGCATAAATAGGGGTGGCACGGTTCACAAAACCCACGGTTCGGTTTGTATCACGGTTTTAGGGTCACGGTTTTCGGTTCTGTACGGTTCTTGTTATTTTTTCTTTTAATCTTTAACACTCCAGAAATGTACTTCAGCATGTGATATATAGCTTAATTATCCACACTTTAGGATACAGTATTAAAAAATATATATATTATATTCATGCAATCATGCACAAACTGAATTTGACTCTTGGAGTTTAAGCACATTTTTGGACTATCTCAGAGGAAAGCTAGGTGAGATTTAGATACAGCAAGACAGAAGACATTGACATGCTTTTTGTTTATTTGGCAAAAAAAAAGGAGAATGTGTATCACCATCTCTACAAGAACTTGAGCATTTTTATCACATAAATCTTATTTACACAAAGAAATTAACTTTCATGTATCAACTGCTAACTTTTGTAGCTCTTATACAAAATTCTTTTTTTTAAAAGAAAAAGAGAGGAACTCTTAAAACACTGTCTTTTAAATGTCAATATACATGAAACCTCATTGCCTATAGATAATTTAGCTATAGCAATAGCAAAGGCCATAAACATAAAGTGAAATTTAAGTTCAACCTCAACACAAAAACAGTACTATCAACAATGCTTCTATTCCCAAAATGTGAGGCGGGTACTTTTTTCCACTTAAAATTAAAGTGCAGGGTTTGGAAACGTATGACTGAAGCTCTTATCTATACATAAAGTGCCACTGTAGTTAAATTAAAATATCATAACATGAAATCCAAAATGTTCCCACACACCGGACTTATACCATAGACTTATACGACGCTGGCGCATCCTCCAACTCCCTCATCTCTCCCACTTGCCATTTCTCCACGTGCCGTGACCTGCAGCGCTCCATACTCCACTTTTACTGGCTTGTTTATTAACTTGAACCGGCGCTGCACAGAGCGATCGGTAATGACATCAAATACCGCGAAAGTGATGAATGCATACGGAGCCGACTCGCGCTAGACTGATGTTATTCACCGATCGCTCTGTGCAGCGCCGGTCCACGTCGAACAAGCTTATGTCGCGCGAAAAGAAAACACACGTCACATACGGGCACGAGGTTACATTGCGCATGCGTCGAACCGTGAGACGCACACATGCTCCGAACCGAGACAAGCGAACCGAACGGTTCGGGTGTTTTTTCATGTACCGTGCCACCCCTAGGCATAAAGGGGTAACGGGTCACGCTTAATCCAGTCCTCAGCGTTCAGAGTTCAGAATGTTGATTGCTTTCGGAAAGAAGCTGTTTTTAAAACGAGTTGTCTTAGCAGCGATCGTCCTATAACGCCTCCCAGAGGGCAGTAACTGGAAGAGGTTGTGTGCAGGGTGAGAGGTATCAGCAGTTATCTTGTGAGCTCTACGTAATGTCCGTTTGTGGTAGAGTGCTTCGATGGATTTCAGTGATGAACCGATGACTTTAGATGCTCTGTTGATGACACGCTGTAGTTTCTTCCGAGAAAGTGAGTCAAGACTGCCAAACCAGACTGTGATGGATGTGGTGATGATGCTTTCGACGATGGCCATGTAGAAGCGAAGCAGAAGATGAGACCTTACTCTGAACTTCTTGAGCTGTCGGAGATGAAAAAGTCTTTGCTGGGCTTTATTGTAGATATGATCTGTGTTGATTTTCCATTTAAGGTTATTGCTAATGTGGATTCCAAGAAGTTTGAATTGATCAGTGATGGAAATGGGTTCACCTTCAATGAGCACAGGAGTTTTGGGGG